CTGACCAACATTTTCTCATCCCTTGCTCCGTGCTCTTCCTGCTGCTGCTGATCTCCGTTCTACTCTCACTTTTATGGGTTCTACTGTTTATGTCATACATGACTAATAAACTGTGGTAAATATCATTAGTGGCCTGGTTTGTTTCAAATAATGCAATCATCTCCAGTTCCATCCATGTTGTCACAAAAAATAGGAATCATTCATTTTGGGGGGGGTGAATTGTTTTCCATTTTGTATATGTATTGCATTTTTTTAGGCAGTCCCTAGTTAGTGGACACTTAGGTGTCTTCTTTGAGATCATATTTGTTGTGAAGAGAGGTACAATGAATGTGGTGGAGTAGATGTCTCTTCATTTCTCTCCATATTGATTTAATTTATTTTCTATAATATATATCCACTAGAGGGAATGCTAGAAAATATAGTAGACTCTTTTTTTTTTTACTTTTGAGGGTCCTCGTGTTATGCTAATTTACTTTCCCTTCAACAATGTCCCCTTTTTACACATCCTTTCCAGCACTAGAATCTCCTGACTATTCAATAACAGTCACTCTTACTTTGCTGAGTTGACAACTTGTTTGGCTTTGATTTGTCTTTTCCTGATCAGTAATGTTGAGCCTTTTCCATTAACTTGCTCTATATTTGCATGTAGTATCTATATTTCCATATCAAAGGTACTTGAGAAGTATCAGTTTAGATCTAGTGTAGATTTTTAAATCAGGTTCTTTTTTTTTTTTTTTTTTTTTTTTTTTTTTTTTTTTTTTTTCTGGTACTGAGGATCAAACTTGCAAGGCAGGTGCAATGCCACTGAGCTAAATCTCCAGCACATTGCTACTGGGTTTAATGATTTCCTTATATATTCTGGACATTGATATCTGCTCAGCTATGTTGATCACCAGTACTTCTCCCATTTAGCACATTGAAAATCAATTGCACTGATTGCAAAATCAGTCCATTGGACTATGAATTTGTTTTTGTGCCTAAGTATGCTGATTCTATCACTGTGGCTTTGAAAATTACTTTGAAATAAAATGGTTTAGTGCCCAGATTTTTGAAAACTTTCTTTATACCTATTCAATATTTATTCTTTTTCTCCTCTGACTGCATGTTTGTTCTCAAATAATCTGTCTTCAAGTTCATTAATTCTGTCTTTTATTTGTTCTGTCCTGCTATTAATACTCAATGCATCGCAGTTTTAATTTCACTTAGTGCACTTTTAAGAGCAAGAGTTTCTGTCTCTGTTAAATTTCTTTTTGTGCACTGAATTATTTCTCTCTCTTTTTACATTTTTACATTAATTTCCATAGAAACCCATGCTGCCTTTATCCCAAATGATTGCCAGTAAAAGTCAGTGCCCAGGACTGGCCAGAGCCTTTGTTGGTTGCACCTGCATTGGTCACCTTGGCCCCTGCTTTCTTTCTCTTAGTTCTGTCTCCTAGTGTGTTCTTTTCCTCAGGCCTGCATCATATACTGTCTAGCGGGGTACTGGAAACAGACTTCAGGGGTTCTGGCACTTTTTAAAATTCTGCTTCTGGCATTTTTCCTATGCTGGTAACTATTGGTCAATATAGGGAAATTGTGGCCATCACACAAGGTCATCATCGCTGGAAATGTTTGATTTTTGTTGACATGTGATATCACAGGGTTATCAAATTACTGTGTTTTTATTATGATCTTTGTGATCTTTCTTTGTGCTTACTTTTTGTTTAAATCTACACAATCTGTTCCCTTGTTTTGATCCTGTAGCCATTTTCCAAGCCATACCAAGGATAGGAAAAGCAAGTCCATGTTTCTAACATCTACTGCTGGAATTTTGTCACTGTTTCTTCACTACAGGGCATGGGAGCACAGTTTGGCTCCAAATATGTAATTGATGGGCTGTTCATTAAAAACTTCCCCAGAAAGTTCTCCTTTTGGTTGGGTTAGTTTCCACCATCCTTGGGCTAAAATCAAGCATTGTGTTTGGTTTTGGTCCAGGCCGCAGTGTTCAATCTGTGGCCATCAAGGACACAAAGCAGTGTCACATCCTTAGCCTGAAGCCTGTCAAGGTGAGCACAGCCCTGAGAGAGTCCAAGGCCCACACTGCTAAGGGCTGCCTATGGCTGGGGTTAACTCATGGCCACAGACCGCTGCACCCAGCCACGTATGATATTGGTGGGGATACCGCAGCTGTGTGTCTCTGCTGGAACCAAGGAGGCTCCTGGGAATGCCTGGGTGTAGTTTCTGTTTAGATCCCCAACAGCCTTGCATTGAGTTTCAAGACAAAGTCTCATGCTGAGTAGCCTCTCCTACCCCAAGCAAATGGACCTTTACACCATGTAGTGTGGCCCAAGTTCTGTGTAGCATTGGAAGGAGAGTCCTTGTCACCACTTCATCAGGGTGGTACTGTCTCAGTGGCCCATCAAGATGCTCATGATAGAGGCCACAGTATGAGACTCTGTCCCCGAGACCCAGTTTTCTGCATGGCATGGAGTCAGGGCAGCTCTGTACCCTCTGTCTATACACACTGATCTGAGCATGGCTGGGCTTCCCATGGAGAGGTAAAGAGTGAAGGAATCACTCACATGGCCCAGCAGGCTGGTGCTGACCTGGGACCCCGGGGATGCTCACTCAGGAAGACTTGGGTGAGGGTGGGCCTACCCTATCGCAAGCTTGGCAGTGATGCCAAGATGTGTCTGTCGCACCACATGGAGTTCTCTACCCAACATTAGGCTGCTGGAAGCTTTGTCTCTGGGCCCTGTTGTGGATATGGGGCCTCTTAGTTTCTTCTGCATTCTGGGTTTCACCTCAGTGGGCCTGGGGTTGAGCTTTGAGACAGGCCTAGGCTGGCTTTCACATGCACACCCTGCTCCCCAGTAGGCAGAGTCTCACTTCCTGCCTTGCTGCCTGAGTCTGGGGAGATAAGCAGAGGTGTTGGTCTTCTCTGTATAGTGATTCACACTGGAGACATAGGCCTTCAGGCAGGGGTGGGGAATCAGGGTAGACTGGGAACTGGGATTCACGTTTAAGGGCTGAACTTCTTTCTTCCTTTCACACATTGGAAGCATCTTTTCTTCTGGGCTGTCAGTTTAGAGTTGTGGGAAGGTGAATGCACCACCCTTTCCTCCCCACCTTCTTCAAGATTTTCATATATGACCAAAGTCTGTGGTGTCACTGGATTTCCTTTGCTCTTCTGAAGTAGTTTGAAGCTTGGATTAATTTCAAATGGTGTGGCTCTGGGAATGTCATCTCTTGAAGATGTTCCTCATCTGCCTGTTTTCTTTCCTTGCCCAACATTTAAAATATAGTTTAACCTGCTAAGGGAATTCAATTAATCCCTAATATTTTATCTTTTGTCAATATTCCACGGATTTTAGTTTTAGGTCTATTAGTTACTATTCCCACTCTTATGCAATTATCTATGTTCTCCATTCTGTAGCTTATTTCTTTTATTAAGTTTGTGATTGATTTCATGTGCAGACTTTAAAAAATTATCACATGAATATATCACAGTTTGTGATTTTCATTTGTACTTAAGGATTTTTCTCATGTTTAAGCATAAATATGGACATGGAAACTTCTGTACACACACACACACACACACACACACACACGTACACACACACACAAGCAAACCTTTATGCAAGTCTGGGATTTTGCTACACAGGTAATTTTATTATCTGATGACTTACTAAGGATGTGGATCAATTTCTTCATATTATAAACATTTTAATGTTAATTAATACAAATTAAAATGTATGAAGCATGTTAATAAGAAGTGAAAGGTGTATTTCACACAAAACTTCCACAAGAAACACAGCTTAGTTCAAATCATTGCCTGTTTGCTTCCTGAAATGGGATTATAAATTCCTGAAAGAATGGATCCTAATCAAAGATAGGACCCTGCTGTATGAGCCACTTAGGAGCCAAGTTAAGACACAAAGAAGTAGAGTAGCAGATCTACTGACTTCTTCTTGCAGAAAAAGTATAATACAAAAGACTGCAACTTTTAAACAAGAGTTACTTCTTTTCTCTATAAATATAAGTGACAGGAACCACAGGCCCAAGCACTGGCAGTAAGGAGTCTACACCCAGCCAGTACAGAGAGAAATACAAACTAACAAAAACAAATGTAAACACAGAGCCCTGTATGCCTCTGTTGAAAGATTCCAAGAATATTTTTCTTTTCTTTTTTGTTGAAAATGTTTCATAATGTTGCACAGGCTGCTTTGTGATTCCTAATCCTCTGACCTCACTCAACTCAGTTACACAGTAGCAGGAACTACAGGCATTCCACACTTTGAACTGTTTGATACACCCTACTGAGTATATGCATTCATTTACATATGCACTGAAATAGATACAATTATATGCTACACTGAAGCTATTGGTTGATGAATAACCAAATACATTGAGCTAATAGACCCTGTAGCTCTCCTATAATCAAGTAAGGGGAGTTTTGAGAAAGGAGGAGAGAGACCAAGATCCCTAGGAGAAACAGGGACACTGTAGCTCATTTGTAGCACACATTCACTGAAACCATCATGCCACATGGAGATGCCTGAAATGGTGTAAATTTTGATTTTGACAGAATCCACAGAATAGGATGCAGTCCTAAAACAGCAAAATTGGGATTAAAAATTCAGAAACACAAACATTATGACAAAGATTGTGTAAAAAATTTCAAATAGTTCAGAATACCATAAAAATATTTAAAAACTCCACTATTTTTGCTTAATCTTAGACAGCATAACTCTATTATGTGATCTTGTTGTACATAGACACTTACTGTCCTAGATAATTTTCTTAATTATTAGGTTAAAGATTCATCCATCTCCTTTAAGAGAAACAGTCTTTTAGTGTTTATGTAGTCTTTTATTTAAATTAAATAGGTGTGTAATTAGTACAAAGAAGATCATATTTTAAATATATATTGAGCTCCATTATGCTTTTCACATTTTGGAGGGAAACAAGGCAGATTCCCACCCAGACTTCATTTCATGTACTTCAAGTGCATGTGTCCTTTAAGAAAAGACACTAGGCAGCTTTTTCCATGTGTTTTGTATGGCAAATTTTACATCTCTGTTCCTCAAGCTGTAAATCAAAGGATTCAACATTGGGATTATCAGGGTATAAAATATAGAAGCCACTTTTTCAGTTTTGCTGGAGTGACCAGACTTAGGCTGTGCATACATAAATATCAGCGTCCCATAGAACACAATGACCACGGTCAGGTGGGACCCACAGGTGGAGAAGGCCTTGCGCCTGCCCTCTGCAGACTTCATCCTGAGAATGGCCACAAAGATGAGCAGGTAGGACACCAGGACCATCAGGAGAGAGGAAATCAAATCAAAAGCTGCAAATATCATAATTATAAATTCAACTTCTTGAGTATTTGAGCAGAGCAAGGAAATCAAGGGTATACAATCACAGTAGAAATGATTAATGACATTGTATCCACAGAAAGACAAAGTGAAAATCTTGACAGAAATGAGAAGAGACAGAAAGGTGCAGTAGAGATAGGGAATCCCGACTAGTACCCAACACACCCTCGGTGACATGATGGCTGTGTAGAGGAGAGGGCGACAGATGGCCACATAGCGGTCATAGGACATTGCAGACAGAATGAAAAGCTCACTACCAATAAACAGAAGAAAAAAAGCTAGCTGTGTGGCACAGAACTGATAGGATATTGTATTTTGATCTTTCACAAAATTTACCAGCATTTTGGGTCCCACAGTTGTAGAATAACCAAGATCCACGAGAGCCAGGTGTCTGAGGAAAAAGTACATGGGAGTTTGAAGCCTGGGGTCCACCTGGGTGAGGATGATCATGCCGAGGTTGCCCAACAGTGAGGTCAGGTAGACAACGAGGAACAGGAGGAAGAGTGGAGTCTGCAGCTCAGGGCGATCTGTTATGCCCAGGAAGATGAACTCAGTCACCGTGGTGAGGTTGGTTTTTTCCATTTGGATTTATCAGGAAGTTTTTTCTGGATAGAACAGATTTAAACTTATCACTTGGCAGGTATTTATTATGTAAAACTAGCATATGTAAGAGACATTCAAACTTTCCAATTCACATTATTTGAAAGTAAAATTTATTTTTACAAGTGACAATATAAACAAACTTAAGTAAATATAAAAGTAGGTATGTTGCTTTCAAGTAGGACAATTTTACTCTGAAAGAATATTATTCAATATCAAGATACAATCCTGTGATTAAAATTGGGAGTAATCTTTGTGTTCAGTGATTGAAATCTATTTAAGCTGCTAATATGTGTAAATATTAATCATAGAACAAAATCAAGCCTAAAATACTAGTAGTGCCACGGTTGAGAAATCATGATAGATGCAAGAATTGGATGGGGAAATATTTTTCTCTTTGTTACTTGCAAAATTACAGTTATAGAGTCACATTTATTAATTACATTGAACAATGAAGCAGCATAGATTAAAATTAAATGATGTATTTACATTTTCTAAAAATTCATAGAACATCATAATTTAAAACAATCGTCTGAAACATTAATTCATACACTTGTATTTGGTACTTCCAAAAGTGTTAAAATACTTGATAAATATTGAATACATATATAAATTTGAAACTAGCACTTACAGAAATTTAAAAATTATAATGAAAAGCTATAACATATATAGAGTATTATATGTTGATACAATGTGTTGCAGATAAATTTAATACTTTTAGAGGATACATAGGACAAGTAATTTAATTAAAATGCATCATTCATATAAAAAACTACTGAGTTCTTTGAAAGTTTTTCTGGAAACAGGAAGGAATTATGAATGGTTCAGTGTGTTAGGGATTGAAAAATGATTACACAGCCATTTACAGATGTATTGTGTTTTTATCTATTTTTATAAATGGTGACAGTGACCTACAGAAAGAGTTTTGCTTAACCATGGACATGTACATTTTTCCAGATTGTGAGTTCCCCTCTTCATTGGGGCTAAAATGATAACTAGGTGAGTAATAGATCAAGGGTCAGGTAACAAAATCGATCCCAATCTTTACCTCATCCCACCACCACTGTGAGTAAAATTAGATAATCTGCATACTCTTGCTATGCAATACTTACCTTATATTATTTGTAACTAGTATAAGAATATATAATGTATTATCCTGACATATATCTACTTTAAGTAGCCTTTTCCCTCTGTGGAAATTTTCATCAAAATTTAAAAATGCTTATGCACGTGTAACAAATTAGATCTATGTTCTTTTGCTGGAATCTGAAGGGATATGAAGAAATGCAAGTGAATTAAGAGAAAGAGAGGTCATTGGCATTGATTTTATACAATTCATGCTCATTTGGTTCCCTTTGCAGAAAGGAATAATGTATCTTAAGTTGAAAATTTGATAATACATAATACATTTTGTAAATGAAATTGAAAATTGAAATTTTACTGTGATACAAAACACCATGAGACAAAACATAATGCAGAAATGTTGAATATCCACAGAGTTCGGGATGTGTTTTAGAAATTTCTTGGGGTATGCTGCCATAACTTCCTCCAAACACAACAAAGCAAATTATGTAGATAGGACAAGTGTTAACTGAAGAAAATATATCTGAATGTGTCTATTAGCCCATAGAGCAACATTTAAATAGCATAGTGAAAGTGAATAGCACTTAAAGGTAAAATAATTATTTTTGATGTAAAACATAGTAATTTTCCTTAAAGAGAAAGAGAAATAAATGACACTGTACAGTGGAAATTGTAGTAACAGCCATCCCATGCTGACTGGAGCTACAAGCAAACAAATAATACAAGTTTGCAATGCATGTAAAGCATTTCTGCAGATATTGGTAAGACACAGCACCGTGTGAAACCTACTTCCTTATTACCTGCAATAAAAACTTCTTCTTGGTTCTTCCATGGATTTTTGATCATCACATCTTTGAGGCTAATTTATGAATACTTTTCAGTTTTCGTTCTCTCTCTGAGGAGATGCCAAACATTCATTGGTTATTCCCAAAGCATTTCAATGTTTAATGAAATACTTGGAGGTTGTCCACTAATTGTCAGGGACAATTTGTTCTCAACTTGGAGCTTATTTATTCATTGTGGGTTCTAGGAAACACTCTTTTTGGGTTTTACTCAAAATTCTGTATGTTGTGTAATGCAAAATAAATGAGTTCTGCTGATCTACTCTAAAACGCTGTACCCAGAGCTATCAGTACCAGATTGTCCATTTCAAATTGCTGAGACTACTAATCCAGCAGTAAACATAATGAAATAAACAAAAAGTGCAACACCGAGCTATGAAATATGCTAACAGAGGGGAGTGTCTTGAAAGTATTATTATTATTTGAAAGACCAGGATCTAAATCACCTTTACAATGAACTCCTTGTGGGGAATATCCAGAAGAGAAAAGTTCATGGGGATCAGAAAGGGATTTCAGGGATTGAAGAAGAGAGGAATGGGGAGGGTAACTCAATGGGAATGTTGTCATTATGGAAAAGTTTTGTTACATTCTTATGCAACCTAAAATGAAAATTTACATTTATGATTTATTTTCATGGTAACGACTGAAGTAGATAAACCATAATAACCACCCTTTTTGAAACTTCTTTGTTGTGCGTAGGAAATTTCCCCATGCCTATTAAAACAGAAATATGCACACACATATATCCACTAACTTAGTGCTAATGCTATTATTTGGATATGAATCAATAATAGGTACCCGTGATTAGGAATTAGTTTGACATGTGAAGGAAAGTACTATATGATACCACAGGAAAGTGCTTGCCTAATAGAATGAAGCAAACTCAAATGCATTATGCAGTAGTACATTTTGACAAGAGACACTGTATACTTGTACAGCTGGGACACTATTTGTAAATTACTTTATCATATTTTAGAAAAATACTCCTTGGTTGTATTGTGTGTTCTAAGATTATTGTTCTCCTATATTTAGAGGATTAATGAAAATCTTGATAAAAATTAGTTTGTGAGTATAATAATGATAGTTAAACAAATATATAGCAATAAAAGTAAAATACCATTTAAACTAATCTTAGAAGAATTATTTCCTATGAAAAGGAGGTGTGTGGGAAGAAGGGCAAATTATGAGCTCAATAGAGATTCTGCTTTCTCTCTCTCTGTCTCTTTGTTTCTCTTTGTCTCTGTCTGTCTCTTTCTGTGCTGGCATTTTGTATGTCTCTGTCTCTCTGTCTCTATCTCTCTCTTTCTCTCTCTGTCTCTCTCTGTGTCTCTTTCTCTCTCTCTCTCTCTCTCTGTCTGTCACTTTAACCAAGGCTCTAAAGAAGGATGTCAACTGTAGAAGCCATTCAGACTCCTAGGGTCAAAAAAAAGCAAGAGACAGAGCTAGGTGGAGACCACATCTGTATGAATGCTAGAATGATGGAAGGGAACTCAGGTTAGTTCTGGGAGGAAGCACACCTACTAACCAGTTCTATTTTATTTTATAAATTATGTTCTCTTTCTCTCTCTCTCTCTCTCTCTCTCTCTCTCTCTCTCTCTCTCTCTCTCTTTGTTTAAACATAATAATCCTGATGTCTATAGGTGAGAGAGGAATCAAATAGTTTAGGCCTTTTCTGTGGAAGACACAATAAAAGTGAAGGCAGTCGGCCCTTAGGAGCCAGCCCAGTGAGGATATCCTGGAAGCTTCCCACATTGTGCCCCACAGGCCATGATCAAATGGCTGTGTAGACTAGAGAAAGGCAGAGAATGCTCTGCTCTGGACTCAGGAGCTGAGATACCAGAGAAAATGTTCCAGTCTAATGGAAGAAGTTTTTCTTCCTGTATGGATTAATTATGTTGTGTTTGCTCAAATCTGTCAGATATAGATAAAAAAAATTAACTGAATTTCAAATATGAGAGGCTATAGCATATTATTTCAATCAAAGAAAATAGTTCAGCATATTAAGTATGGCACAAATGCATGTTTGTGTGTACTTTGGATGTTCAATTTAGTATCAGCATCAATTTTTTCCATTATGCACTAAATATATCATTGTGCACATTGCGGAAAGCAAATAGAGGCTATAGTTATTGCTGTATAGAAAACAACACAGGGGAGATTGCCCATTATCTTTCTTTAAAATCTCTTCTGCTGGGTATGGTGGCACATGTCTATAATCCGAGCAGTCAGAAGGCTGGGTGAAGAGGATGGCCATGAGTTTGAGGCTAACCTGGGCAACATAATGAGCCCAAGACTAGCCTGGACTACACCATGAGACCCAGTCTCAAAAGACTAAATGTAAATAGACAATAAAATAGAATAAAATGTTCACAAAGAATAAACTTCACTAATAAATAAAAATTTTCATGATATTCTCTTAATATTGACCTACAGAATAACACTTTGAATATTTAAAATGAGAAAAAATATCCTTAACTGATGAACTAATTTTCTTTCAAACTGCTTTTATTTCTTCTTTTACATCTTTGTTGCCTAAATTGCTGATGATGGAATTTAGCATGGGAATCACCACATTGTAAAATTTAAACACTATCAGGGTAAACTGGAGCATGGTCTCACGTACGTAGAAGAAAATCACTGTGAAAAAGGGACACCCAGCTGGGTGAGAGATGTATGTAGGCAAGGCTTCTTGCTTCCTTTTGGCAGGGCATATCCTGAGAATAGCTGACAAAGTGAATCAATGGTTAGGACTGTAAGAATAAGGCATAGAGCCGGTCAAGTACAACAGTGGAACCTAGAACTATGGCCCCACCCAGACACCAGCAGCTTGGACCCAGAGGCCCCAGACAAAGTTTTGTCTAGAAAAGAGCTGCACAGGTGCTCAATCAATAGACAGAGGCCCACCCAGACACCATCAGTAAGTGTTCACAGACCTCAGCCAGAAGCCCACTCAGATCCCAGAGACTTCAGTACCTAGCCTCCAGTCAAAGGCCTTTCCAGACAACATCTGGACAGGTGGGAAGGCTCCAGCCAGAGGCATGCCAAAATACCATCCAA